TTTTTTTTTTTTTTTTTTTTTTTTTTTTTTTTTTTAAGAGGAAATAGGGTAGGTTTGAAAGTCGGCCCAAGCGCGGATTTGAAAGGTTAACGGAACGTCTTTTCTCCTTCATTTCTACATCTCGTCAATTTGTCCACGGGACAGAAAGAGATCTACTGAATGTTCTGACCTTTCAAACTCGCGCTCAGACCGACGTTACTCAGCCAGGCATCTTACGACTTATAACACCCATTTCACAGCCGATTTGCTTGTGTTCCCGATCGAGCATTAAAGTTCTAGCGCTGAGAAATGAAAGATCTGGCAAACGATTCAATACCTTTGCTGTTTCTGGCTGGATTGGCATTACCCGACCGAATCTGTCCATTATCACGGGTTCAGATGCAGTTCTCTTATTCACAGATTTTCCACGATAAATGTCTCCCAAAGTCGATTTTTCAGAGGGTAAATACTGCTTATCACTTGACGGAAATTGTTTTTCAACCGATGTAAACTGCCTTTCAGTTGTGTATTGTTTTTCAATTGTTAAAAACTGCTTTTCTATCGGTAGACATTGTTTCTCTATTGAAATACCCTTTTGAATACTCGCGTTCTTCTGTTTATGTCCTGAGTCAAGATCAATTTTTTTCTTCCATTCTGCTGTACGAGGAGCAAATAAAGGTTCGATCATCTTCGAAGACTGTGAACGTTTCTGTGATTTTATAATGTCATTCTTCAGAGAGTCTACCATTTCCACTTTCGATACAGAATTGCATCGTTCCCGATTTACATTTACTTCTGAGATATCTGTTGTTTTGTAAAAGATTTATTTTAAAAGTGATAATTTCAAATGTAGAAGAATTATAACATGAAAAGCACGTAATATAAAATACTAGTATCTCTGTGTTTCTGGTTACAAGACATAGAATAAAAACACAGGCCTAGACTTACAATGGTTAATAGGATTCCTTGCACTACTTGGTCGACAGTAGGATTCAGAGTTGGTGGAGCTCTGGGATGTTAGTAGAGGATCGAAAGGACACAAAAAGTCCAGAGGTAGAAGAGCAGATAACCCACCACCTAGATTACATTATTTATCAAAAAATATTCCCAGCAGTTAGCACACATTATAAAAAACGATTGCAAAAGCAAACAAAGTGAAATAAGCTATAAAATATTTTACAATTCATACATAACTTAATATAGAAGATACTTTTTTAAGAATTTATAAAATACCTAATATTTGTATGACTAAAATAAAATAAAACTAACAAATATAAAGGTACACATTGGCCTAAATACTTACTAGCTTCTAGGGGATTAACAAGCCCAGAACTATTCCAATCAAATTGAGCAGCAGGTACTTCCTAACAGGATTATATTATTATTAATTATAGTCAAACGTAACATGAATTATTCATTATTAGTACAGTAATTTCCAAATAAGTGATTGGGAAACAGATTCGCTTTTAATCACTTAATCAAACTAGGATTACCACCTCGTAATGAAATTTCATATTTACAATAATTTTTATTAAAGGAACTTCAACTATCTTTTGGTAATAATTTTGTAAAGATCTAATTGACAATATAAATGTTCTTAATTTCATTAGCTCATGTATCAGGCATTCGACATTTACATATCATAAAGTCTTAATAGAAAAAATATGTGGTCACTTATCTGGAGACCATAATGTTTCCAAACTTACTTCTGAATTAATTGAAGTTTGAGTTTTATTAGTACTCAATGAAACAACAGGTTGCATATCATTAGTAGCTTTAATTGGTTCCAATGGTGTAAAACCAAGATTTGCAGCAAATCTTGGAACATTTGGATTCCATCTCGGCCCAAATAACTACAAGTACTTTTATTTAACATTCAATAGATTATAACATTATGTACAAAGAAATGATACTCACAATATTGCGAGAATCAATACCAAGGGAATTTAACAACACATTGTTGCTGGAGCTGTTTGCCCACTGATATGTCAAAGCATTCGTTTCCTCCACATTTTTTATGCTTTTCCACACTTTATCTGCCTGATTTATTAACGATGATATCTCAATTTCACATTGTTCTGTATCCATTGAAAACATTGTAGTTATTATATCCTCTATCTTGTTTGCAGCCTAAAGAAAATTTATATAACTTTCTGATACTTGATTCAAGAAAATAAATCAATTGAAAGAAACTCACACTTTTATTTTCTATGTGACAAATTGATTCTTTCAGACTAATTTCTGATTGCTCTACTACAGGTTGTTCAAATACTGGCTCAAAATCATTGAAGTCTCCAAAATCATCATCCTTGTCCTTCTTATCAGGTACATTTGTTTGATCCAGTTTTTCAAATTTTGTATGTTCTGAGAAATTGGTAAAATCACCAAAATCATCATCTTGAGTTATTAGTTCTTTTACTTTTTCATTTGTTTCAATTGAATAATTAGAAAACTCTGTTTGAAGTGTAATAGTGGAAGTTTCCAACATAGAGTCATATTTAATATCATCAAATTTGGAACACTTGGAAATATTTGGCAGTGGTGTAGAAGGTAAAAAATTATCCTCAATTTTACCATCTTCATTTTCAGAAAATTGAAGATCTTTAACAATTTCATTCTTCACTTGATCTTTTAAAGAAAACTCATCCTTTGAATCATCAATGTTCAATTTTTCTTTAATAAGGCTACAAAACTCTGAATGTCCAACATTTGCAATTTCAAGTGCAAAGATAGCTTTTTTATTAGATACACTTAGATTTTCTATGCACTTATCATCTAATTTTGGTTTTTCAATATTTTCCAAATCCAAACTTGAATCTTTTATATTTTCTATGTTAATATCTTTGTTTAAACTGTTTACATTATTTAAGGTAACTTCAGACTCTTGAAATTTAACGTAATCTGTTTCCGAAATATTTGTAGATATGTTGTTGTTAGAAACCCAATTTTGTTGGGTCTTAAATTGTTCATAATCATAGAAGTCATTGTCTATTGTTTGTATGGTATCAGGAGCAACAGTCGGATCCCCTAAATCTAAACTTAAAGGCTCTATATCTTCTAAATGATTTAAAGAGGTTTCATGTTCGCTTTCTCCAAAGTTACTGTCTTCATTGACTAAATTAACTTTGCTAGAAGCTCCTCTCTCTGTAATAATTTCTTTATTGTTCACATTTTCCAAGTTTATTTTATTATCATTTCCTATTACTTCATTGAAATTCTCAACTTCTGTCTTAAGTTTAATATCATTTACAGTATCATTTATTTTTTCAAGTATTAAAAAATCATCTGTAATTGCTGGTTTTGGAACAATTATTTGAGAATTTTCCAAAGTTTCTAAAACACTGTTTACTTTTGGTGAAGTATTTTGAGATATTAAAGGTGTCTGAATTGGTGTTACAAGTTTATGTGGTGAATCTGATGATACAGACAATCCTAGAATATAAGTATTGATATTACAGAAAAATACCTTACAAAGAATGTTGTAATTACCATCTATGCCTCCAGTTGTAAAATCTCCAAACTCATCTTCCTCAGAATCTCCAAAATTATCTAAAGGAGGAGGTGTAGAACTAACTAATGGAGGGAACGCCATTCTTCATTAGAGTTCTGAAAACGTTATATTTTTTTCTTCACACATTATATAAACTTTTCATAATTTACATAAAATAGTTGTTAATCACAATCACAATTAAATGAAATTCAGTGTCCTTTGCTTTATTGCTGTTTTTTGAAATAAAAAAGTTACTTACATTATTTTCTACAACTTCTTCTGAAGCATGAAAAACATTTTTAGAAAAGATGAAAATAGTTTTTATACATATGTCAAATTTAATTAGGTTAGGTACGTGTCATTGATAATAAATGAAAATACTAAATAAAATATTTTAAAGCATCAATTAAATTTAATTGATCATTATATATTGTTTTATTATGATATTAAAATCAGGAACGATATCATTAAATACATAAATCGAAATTGAAGAATGATCAAATATTAACTTACAAAAAACTTGTTAGGTACGTGGAGCACCTTACGAAAGGATTTTATCTGTATTTCGTCATCATTTCAATTTTATTGAAATCAAAGCTCAAACGTATGCAATTTTTATCAATAACGATTGCAATTTGTTAAAACTATAAAATTCAGTAGTACGAATCACGAGATATCACTCGTATCACCTGTTCTGTACGTGTTGCATCTGCGCACCTGTTCAGATTTATTATCGCGCCTATTTTTAAAGAAGTACAAATATAATATTAATTTAAAACATTTTATATTATCAATATGCAATAACTTCTTTCTGTATATGTATATTTTGTTTTATCTGTTTAATATCTATCTAACCTTAAAAGAAAACCAACTCTGAAACTTAACTAATATGGATCACTTAATTTAAAACTAAAATTCGTAATAAGAAACATTTATTACAGTAGTATGTAAACTTTATTTACATTTTATTAAGGGCAACATAATATTTATGAAAACTATCAATTATAACAAAGGATTCCAATGAAATATTTAAATGTTTATATGACGTATTCAACAATTGTTTTAGCTTAACCTATTTTGTATCTTGTTTGGCAATATGTTGCGTTCGCCTATGCTTTCTCATATCTCCTTTTTGCCTGAAACATCTTCCACACACATCACAGGCATGTGGTTTTTCACCAGTGTGAATTTTGATATGATTGTTTAAAGCTTCTGTTCTGGTAAATGCTTTCTCACAATAATTGCACTTGTATCTACGATCTCCCCTATGTATTAATCTATGTTGATAAAAGACAGAACCAGTTAAGAAAGCTTTATTGCATACATCACATTTGAATGGTCGTTCTCTTGTATGTTTCTTTCTAGTATGATCTGCTAAATCTGGCTTTATTGTGAATCTCTGGTCACAATATTCACAGGCATAAGGTTTTACTCCCATGTGAAATCTTTTATGGGTCCACATGTGACTAGATTGAGTATAACTTTTACCACAAATATTACAAACATACCTATATAAAAATAAAATAATTTATGTAACTTGCAGAACTTTAATATAACCTAGAAAAAGAAAATAGAACTATATGTACGGTCGTAGTCCACTGTGTCTTCTTTTATGTGCATTCAGAGAATTTGCAGTTGGCAACAAATTACCACATATATCACATGGAAATTTAGAACATCTATATTTTCCATGTTCTTGAAAATCTTCAATACCAGCAAAGATACTTCCACAAAGTTCACAAATGAATTTCTCTTTGTTTTTTTCTGATTTTCTAGGCACTGGTTGATGCCTTTTTTGTTTATGCTTATAAAGCAAAGATAGTTCTTTAACATCTCTGTCACATATTTCACACAAAAATACTACTAACACTTTGAATATTCTTGGATGTTCTTTCCAGTGAAGAACAGCTTCAGCAAAAGATTTGAATGTAGAATTACAATGATTGCAAGAGTATGGTGTTTCAATAACATGTGATTCTCTGTGACTCTTTAAATGATCCATATCTGCAAAGTGGCTGCTACAGAATTCACAATGATATAGCTTCAATACTTGCAGCTCTTCTATAAGATTAATTTTCTCCTCATGCTTTTTACAATGTTCATCCACAGATTCACCATTTTCAAAGACTTCACCACAACGAATACACCTTTAGTCACAAGAAACAACTTTCATATTACAAAATATGGCAGAAAATAATGATATAAGAAGAATATACTACCTCCAAATAGTTTGACTATTTTCAAAAATGATGCTGTGCCCAGCCACATGTTTATTTAGTCTAGACTTCTGTGTGAAACTTTTTGAACATTCTGGACATTTATATGGCTTTTCCGGAAGATGAGTTACCACATGACGTTTTAAAGTATAACCATCACAAAATCCCTTGGAACACACTTCACATACATGAGGTCTTGTTTTTCCATCCATGCAAATATGTTTTCTTAATCCTTCTTGATTTTCAAATAATTTTCCACACTGTAAACAGGATACTCTGCCATCTTTACAATGATATCTATAAATAAAAGAAATTTGAGTATCTTAGGTTCTCCACAATTTTTTCTATAGGTAATACCTTTTGTAATGATAAAATAATTTTATTTCTTTCCCAAACGTAATTTTGCAAATTTCACAATACAATGCTTTTGCATCTTTATGAAAATGTTGATGAAACTGCAGTCGTTCTTCAAATGTAAAAGTTGCAAAGCAGATATCACACTTATAAGGCTTAGAAGTACATTGCAAATTAGGTTTACATTTATGCTCATCTAAAGTTTCTTTTGTATGATATAAATTCATACAAGCCCCACATTTAAAATATTTCTGCTTGATGCCCAAACAGAATAATGTTATAGATTCATTTTCTGATTCTTTATTAATTTTAATTTCATTAGGAATTTGTTCTTCATCGCTACTTTCAAGAACAATATCACTATCGTACAATTCAACATCTTTTTTGATCTGTTTATCCTCTTCATAAACTCTCATTCGTCCTTCAATGCATAATGGGCAAGAATCAATATTTTCCTGACAATTTTCTTCGAAATCATTGTTGGTATTATTAAAAGAATGTTTCTCCTTTAAAATTTCAAGTAGAGTTTCTTCTGCTTTGATACATTGAATATCAAATTCATTGCACCAAGTAATCTTTTCAACACAAGTTGGACAAAGTTGTTTTGGAAGAGGATCTGTTTTTTTTACCTATGAAAAATTGGTGTTTAGTACTTGTGTTTAATAATTCAATTATACACATGACAATATACATGAAAAAAAGAAAAAATTTAGTTTTATGTATGATGGAATATTAATGTCATCAAAATATCTTTTGTAATAATTCAATTCTTTGATTTATTTATAACAAGTTTACATAAAATTTACGTAATTTATATAAAAAGAAAAAATAAGGAAATTTAACGAATAATTACCTTAATACTTAAACACGTGTTTATCTTATGTAAAAGTCTCAAAGATTCACCGAATTCGGAATAAATGTAAATGGGATGTAGAGTTTCTCCCGCGCATAAACGACACAGAGATTTTAATCGATTTTGTTTATCCGGGTTTGGTGTTAATTCTAAAATTTCGTTAGGTGAAAGTGGTTCCTCCTGGGACCAAATAATAGATCCTCCGAATTCATCAAGATCATCCTCATGCTCGCTTAATGTGCTTATCGACTCAGTTTTTCCACTGTTCATGTTTTAAATCTAATTCTATGACGACTACTTCTTATCTAGAATTTAGCAATAATAAGTACATTCTTCTTTTAAAGGAAAAGTATCAGAAATATAAAACTAAACAATTAATTTTTATTTAAACGATTGTTTAAAGTAAAAATTTATTATCGTTCACTATTTTTTTTAATTCTCTATTTACCACTTAAAAAATTATTTTTATATATTAATCATATTTTTTTTAATTTTTTAATCATTAAGTACGATATTTTAAATGCATTTTTACTGTTAAACTATTGTATTAATGTATAATTCTCTAGTTCAAATAAATTATTGTTAATTGTGATTATTATTATGCAATAAGGTTACTGTTAAATAATTAGAAAAAAGATGATAGTTTTGGTTTGTCTTATCCTTGCAAGTGAAGCGTACGATCGAAAGTATTTCAGAGCAGATTACCTCGTTCCTTGGAAATGAAAAGGGAAAAATTCTTTCATGGCAAACTAAACTTCAATCTTTATATCGTCGAAACAATTCAACAAGAACCCTAATCTCTACAAGCTGAGTGTTTCTGGTAAATACGCTGTCACGACGACCGAAACAAAAACGAATCTGAAAACTTTCTTAATTTAACAAATGTTAAAAAATTATACATATTTTCATGAGCTCAAATATAAAATTTTAAAACATCAATTGAATTGTTGTAACTGAATTGAATTGAATACAATATTTAGTTTTGAAAAATAAAATAATTACAAGAAGTAAGATAATGAAAATATATTTTACAATAGTACTGATTATATAAAAATATTATTTACAAATTAGTATAAAATTTTAAAAAATAATTCCTTATTGCTAAATTATATCTTTACTTCTCCTGCATAAACAGCAGAACATATGTTAAACATAATATCTTGGTTTATTACTAGAGTTTACGCAATTATTTTTTTGTTAATATCACATATCTTAAATCATCTTTTATCCTGTGTTCTCTCAATCTTTTGCAGTGTCGTAAAACTGATATTAAATTTAATTTGACCTTATTTAATTTAGATTTCACTTGTTTCTCATAATCTTCACTAGTGAAAAAATACATATATTCTGAAATATAATTTTTATCTTTATTAAAAAGATAAATATTTTAATTACATGAAACTCTTTAATTACTTGATAAACTTACCAGAATCATTACAAATATCTAATTCCTGTTTTTTGTAGTGTAAATAAAGGTTCAAATCACCTTGCTTTCTAGCATGAGCTTTTCCCAGTGACAAAAATGTATATTTTACTTTTAATACTTGATTAATGGTATCTATAAAATTATTCATAGTTTCTAAAGATTGTCTTCCAATAATGTATTTTGGAACTTTACTAAATTCATTTTCACTTATCAAAGGTATCATAGGACAAGGTTCAGGCTCATTAAACAATATTTTTTTACAGTCCTTCATTGGAGTCTCTTGTTTTTCTGCATTAGTATTTATTATTGTAGTTGTCTGCCGTATGAGTTTCTTTTCAGACATAATAGATAATGGTAAAGAATTCTCAGTCTTATGATCATCATTAATTAACTGAGATGGTATATTCTTTTCCATATGAACAATTCTTTTGTTCAAAACTTCAATAAGTTTTAACAATTCCTAGATATTTAAATTTCTAATTAGGACTTATTAATAAAGAATTAAGTGTGATAGATAACAAATAAAAAGTGTTTAATACGATGAAGAAACATACTCTACATTGATTATTGTGCATCCTCATTTTGTCTAATTTTTGTCTTATATCTTCAATACCATTACACAATTGTAAAATTGCAATATGCATTTTAAGAAATTCTTCTTTTATTGCATCTTTACCTAAACATGAAATAAATTATACATTTTCTGATAAAATATTATCATTTTGAAAAAATATTACAAAAATAAAAATTTAATTTTACTTTTAATAAATATCGTCGCAGTTTCAAGATCACGTAATTTTTCACACTGTTTTTCCAAAATTTCTTCCAGCGAATAAGAAGTTGTCATTCTAAAATAATAAATTATTAAAGCAACATGATAAAATTTATAATTATCATCTTACATTTAACCCTTTGCACTCTACGAATTTTCTTATTCAATCGATCAGCGATTCCAATACACTTTTATAAATTTCGTTTCGAAAAAAGGAAATTAAAAATATCTGTGAATTTGTTTATATAGTACTCTTGCTTGCTTCCAACTGTTTGTAAATGATGTGCTAATCGGTTTATACACTAAAAGCCGTGTTTAAAGAAAAATGTACATATTACCTTAATGTGTTGATAAATATAAAGTAATTTTACTTAATCAAATTAATATATTTAGACAATATTACTATAAATTATTTAAAATATTACGTTTTTAAATCATAAATTAAAACTATATATAGTCAATGTAATTTTATTTTCAATAATTTTATATTATGTTATGTCTTCCTTATTTTCTATCATGTCACATGATCTACCTGAAATGGCTGCCAACTCATCAATGTGTTAATGCTTATTGTTAACGACAAACATTATTAAGAGTATTTTTAACCAAAATTAGTTAATATATGAAATTTTATGAAATATTTTGTAAAATGCGAAGCATAATATTAATTTTTGTGACGTTATTCACGTATGTACATGGTATAAGATTTTATCTTGAACCGAACTCAGTGAAATGTTTGAAAGAAGAAATTCAAGCAAATGTTTTAGTTGCTGGAGAATACGAAGTTTCTGTAACACCAGCTGTTAAAACTGAATACATTGTAAGTTACTTTAATCTTTTATAACAGTTATTATAACTTGTCGAAATTAGATATGTTAGGTTATTTTCTTTCATTACTTTTTATATGATTAATTTTGTATTATTTTTTAGCTTTTTTGACAAGTTTTGTTAAAGAATTATAACAAGAATTATTAATATAAACATGTAAGTGTAGACAATTTAATAATAATTTGTAATTTTATAGGTGAAGGATTCAAAAGGTGATATACTTTCAAAAAAAGAGGATATTCCTCATGGTAAAATGTCGAAATTCTCGTTTGTCACAGAGATTTATGATACATTTGAAATATGCTTTATGGCACATGCTATACAACCGTCTTTTTCAGGGAGTACGTACAAAAATTCATAATTATATGTATTTATTATTTGATAAAAATTCTTAACATTTTTTAATTCAATTTCAAAATATATTTTAGATATGAAACAGGTTAAACAGGAAATTTATTTAATTACAAAGCGTGGAATTGAAGCAAAAAATTATGAAGGAGTAAGTTCTTTGAACAATTTTATTGTCCAAATATTTCTAATTTTATTAACAAATTTTATTCTTATGTTAGTTTTTGTAGCAATTCTGTAATTTTCATTTAAAGAATTGATTAAACTTTACCTCTAAGGAACTTTCCTTAGGGAGGGAGGACGAGAGGTGTTTCTATTTCAAAGTATTCATCAAACAGAGTTAGGAACCTACTTATTCAAAAATTTTATTTATAAAAGATGATAAAATTTTTACATAAACTGTATTATTTGTTATATTATCTGATTTGTGTCCAGTGATAGGTTATGATCCTACTATTCTACTGAGTAAATTTATATTTTAATGATTAGAGTTAGGGTTAAATTAGTTTTATTTTGAGTAGGATATGTCCTAATGGACTCAAAGTAGATGGCATAAGGAGTAGTATAGTTTACAGTTAGAAAGTATGTCAAAATTTTGCATTCTATATATAGCAACTTTTGAATAGGTAGGTTCCTAATATTAAAAGTATCATTCCTATACTCCATTTGAGTACCTTCAGTAAAAAAAACCTAACAATAAGAGAAGGTTTTACTGAGATAAAGTTTACTCAAAAAATTTGTTTTATTATTGACAGAATATATATTAAATATTTAATAAGAATTGTCAATAGCAGTTGGTAGAAATGTAATTTTGCTTTCAATGGAGTTTGAATATAGACTTGTTTTTCCCAAATGCCACTTATATTTAAATTAAATTGTGTTTGAATGAGTTTAATTAATCTTAAATTGGAAGTTTAAAAAATTTCAACAGCAATGTGATGGATTAATTCATTATTTTTATTTAAGGTTGCAGAAGTATCAAAACTTAAACCTTCTGAAGTTGAATTAAAACGTCTTGAAGACTTATCCACAAGTATTGTTCAAGATTTTGCTCGCATGAGAAAGAGTGAAGAAGAAATGAGAGATACAAATGGTAATGTAAAATAAGACTCAAATATTAGTTATAAAACTTTTGGCATTTAAAAAACATTTTTTTTATAAAAATGAGATATAATAAATTTTATTAAATACGTGATTAATTTTTTTTAATTTTCAGAAGCAACAAATACTCGGGTATTGTACTTTAGTATATTTTCAATATGCTGGCTAGTGATACTCTCAAATTGGCAAGTTCTTTACTTACGACGGTTTTTCAAAGCAAAGAAACTCATTGAATAATTAACAAGAAATAATAGAATTTACCAAAATTCTTATAGTTTTATACTTTATAAAAATTTATTTATACTTCTTTTTACAGTAAGTAATTAAAAATTAATATTGAAATTGTGAGAAAATTAATTGATTTCAGTTTTGTATATTCAAATTTGAATAAAAAATAAATATGGTTACAATTGAATAATTATGCAAGTACGTAATTTATTAAGTGTTTCTTTTGTGTCCTATTTAATATACAACAAACAATTAGGAAAACATAATCCTTTTCCTAGAAAAATGGATTAAAATTCATTTAATTGCTATACAGCTACGAAAATTTATTCAATTTAAATATGTAATAAGTATAATTAAATTATATTTTATTTATCAAGTTGCAATATAAATTAAATATTTTAATTCAATGCAGTCATTTTTCAGTTGTAATGTTTTAATTTAAAAATTTGAACTTGAGTTCGAGTTCGATTGATCTCGATTTATTATGAGTGTAGATGGCAGTTTTAACATAACCTACGTAAAATCGTCATAAACGTATTCTTTGCAGAAAGTTTCATCGTGTACCTATATTATAAAAATATCTTGTCATATAATCTTAAAGTGTACAATGCAGGAAGTGTCTCCAGTGAAAAATATGATTAACAATCGAGATCGCGACTGTTTAGGCTGTAGAATTTTCAATGGTTGCGGTCTTATTGGTTCGGGATTATATGTAGCGTATCAATCAAAAAAGACACAGAAAAATGTTGGAAAAACTATAATGTATTCAATTGGAAGCGGTAATTCTGCTTTTTGTATCCACCTTTTTTACATAAATTTTTTGAATTACGATTATCCTGTTTCAATATACTGATATAATAGAGTATTGGTTTATTAAAAGTGTTTTAATCATTATATCAATAAAAAATAATATTAATTATTATTTCTAGAATTTTGATAAAATATTTTCAATTAGTACTTAAATTTCTAGTAAAATATGTATTTAGAAATCTATTAGTACTAAATGTAATTTACTAATTTTTAAAAAAATTTTTACAGCTTTAATATTCCTTGGTACGGCTCGAATTTTGGATCTACCTCCATTTCGCAAACAATTTAACCATGGATAATTATAAATGAATATTTATCCAACTTCTATTACTTGTAAATGTTTTGATACTTTTTTGTTATTTACTTTGATATTTTTAACTATAACTGTAAAATATAAAAACCTTGACTGGTCTAACAGTCTAAGATATTTATTAATTACATACAATTGTTTGATAATGATCGAATCTGGTTTTGAATTTACTTTTGCATCAAAATAAATATGAATTTTAAATTCATTGTAAAGTATACAATAATAACCTGTTTATAAGTTGATAAAAAACAATAGATATAGTGGATTCTCAGTGCAGTTTTCATCATGAAGGATTATTTTTGTAATTTATTGAGCTGTTATTATAATCAGTTATATCTTCACTGAAGATTCGTATCAGAATTGACACAATTCAATAATTTCATGAATAAGGAAACTTTATACTTTAATTTTTTAGTATTATTTAGTTTATGTGATCAGCAAAAAATTTAGATTCAATTAAAGTAAATACAAGTTTAAAATGTGCAAAGCAAATTAAAATATTTGTTTATTATTTCAGAAAAATTCATCAATTTTTATTTTAAAGTTATAATTTTGGAAAATATATTGATATCTATCTGCCAATCTTGTTTATTGTTAGCTTGGTTTATTGTTTATATTTACACACCAACAATCGCTATTTGCTCGCTGGCGACTGACGGCTTAGAAGACTGTAATCCCGTTGTCGCCAAATGACAAACAGAAACTGTCACTTTCATAAATATGTTGCATTCAATGGACTGTTATTACGGGCGATAAGGGAATGGAATAAAAATTCCAACAAGCTGCATCAGACAGTTTCACATTGATAAATATTGTTCGGATTTAAGGGATCGAAAATTTCGAAACTTTAGGCGCCACATAAATCTCAATAATAAAATAAGTGCATTGGAATGTACTTAATGTTTGTAAACTTGTTTAAGTTTCATCGTTATCAACAGTCGATAAATACGAGCACATGCTTAAGATTATCATCTAATTCCAACTAATATTTGATAGCAAGATTTTAAAATGATAAATGGTTGCTTTTTTGTACAAAAACAAAGGTTTTTTTTATTTTTGAATGATAATATCTTTTTAGTAGAGTATTGTACATTTCATAGTATATATTATTCGACGATATTAAATATTTTCAGAAATGTATATTAAAAATTATGAATGATCAGCTAAAAAAAACTATTAATAAATTTATACTATTTATTATAAAATTTATACTATTAGTAAATTAATTTTGCGATTTTTTATCATTAATACTGCGCGTCCTACAACATAAAAGATAGTAAATTTAATATGTTACATTTTATTCTGAAAGTAACCAGAAACTTTAAGAAAAAATTAAAATAGACTAGAACTTACATATTTTATATATGATAGAAAGATGTCATAGATCATTGTCATAAAATTTGTATACAGTACCCTATAACGAAAGGGTATGAAGAAGAAGTTCACACATTGTGTCGGAGGCCAAAAGCAACAATCAACCTGAATACAAATAGAATAAAAGGAAAATTACAGTGATACAGCTAAATACATCAATAGGAAGTACAATAATAGTTCGTAGAAATGAAATATATACCTTCCATGTGTCATACAATTTCATTTTTATTTCTTCGTAGATTTCCTTTTCGTTATGGTGTTCTAAAATACCAAGACCAACAAAAAATATTCCTAGACATACTGGACTTGCGATAGTTTGATCTAAACAAGTTTTTTTAACAACAGATATTGCATTTCTTCCGGGGAATACCCTGTCCAAAATCATGTAGAACCAATGATGGAAAGGCCCTTGAAGTAGACCCACAATCATCATATTTTTAGTTCGTACATAATCGTGCATGTAAATATCGGGAACATTTAAAGAATGAAATTTCTGTTCTGTGTCCAGGGATGCTGCTATCACATAACTTCCACTAGATAAACATTTATGCTTTTTCAAATATTCATTGCGTTGCTGAATAATATCAGCAGCTGCCATCATTAATCCGCAGCTTACAGTGTTCGTGACTAAAAGATACTTGCCTACAATTTTTTTTTTAATTTTATCATTTCAATTTTATTACTTAGATTAAAAATTTTTAATTTTATAAAAAAAATAAAAAGTTTTTATTTTATTATGTAGATTCCAAATCGATTTAAATTTTATTAATATTAATCTTAAATTTTTTACATCAATATAACAAATTTTAAATATAATACATAGAATATTCATAACTTACCGAACAATTTTCTCCAAAGAGTCATTTGCGTACTGAACGTGAAATCTATTAAGTAATTTTCTTATTAATAAATTATAAGTACTGAAATATTTGTTTTATCTCAGAAATTTTATATTCTGTACTTTATTCAAAATATCAATTTATTTCAATTTTTACTCGTATTTGTTTGCACTATCAGATGATTATAGAATTTTTGATATTTTTATATTTGTGAAGTTGAGCATGATCCGATCACATACTGTTACTACCAACTAAATAGCAAATTTAGATTTTAAAAACAGATATAAGATATCATTTTGCAACATAAATCTACGCGTTACTGAATAGAAATTTGCGAAACAGTGGTTATTATAAGATGGAATGTAATCGAAAGTTCCGCCGCGTTTGCGCAGTAAATACTCAACCCCACCAATCGGTATATTCTACTTTTTTGAATATTATTTTCTTGATTTGTAAAAATATAAATATGAGAATATTTGCGAAAATTCAATTTGAGGGTATTTTTAACTTCACAAAATTCAATTAAAATAAACGACATACAAATAAACTTTTGGACTTTTTCAATTATTTATTAGAAGTCAAATAGTTCATTGATGTATAACAAAGCAATAAGAGTTATGATTATTTAACTTGTTCTGATTTAGGTTTTGGCAAACCTTCCCTAAATCCATTTCTGGAAAAAGAAAAATTATAAAAGATTACAATTTTATTTTTTAATACACAATCAATGTTTCATTTAGTTCATTCGTTATTTAATTTTTATTTACACTTAAACTTACTTGAATTTACGACGAACAATCTTTAAATAACGCATACGACCAGTTCCTGTAGTCTTCCTCCTCTTTGCTTTTACAGACCAATTATCTGAAATTTGTAAAATATAATTGCCTTTCTTTAGAGTTATCACTAATGCTTTCTAAATATAATTGTATCTCATATTAAATTCACATTAAATTCAAAAACAAATTATAGTTTTATTAGAACTTCTTTATTTGTATATTCATCAATAAAAATTTGTTTAAAATCGATTGCTTACAACTGTTTACTAAGAGAGTTAAACTCACATGATCGCATTTTTTTCTTAGGATATCCACACTGAGCACATTGTGACTTTTGAATGTGGTATGAGCTACAACCACATCGTCTACACAATGTATGAGTTTTATTTCGTCGCTTACCAAAACTTGATGTACCCTTTGTCTACAAATATTCATAGAATTATTAATTATAATACCATTAAATTTACAGAAATTATTTCATGTTTTAAAACTCTAGTTTTATTAACATTTAGAAAATAACATAACCTTAACCATTATTAAAATTACATTTATTTAAAAAATTTATGTATCCATTATAATTTGAGAGTATTTTTATATAAAATAATGAAATATTTCCACAAATATAGTTTTTAAATTGAAAAACTAGTTTAAAATCTGATGTCAATATCAAATCTTTAACACATAACCTCAGTTATGATTTGATATTAATATATTTATTTCAAATATTTATGTCAGAACTATAATATTTAAATATTTTCAGATGCAATAGAAAAATACTTCAAATGGCTTTTAAGTAAATAATTTCTACGATCACATTATAATATTTAGATTTTAAAAGCTATAATTACACACTTACCATTTTGTACGACGGAACAGCATTAAAGAGAAGGTTAGTCGCGTCTCAAAACCGTTCGTACAAGTATTGATGAAAACAGTGGTTCTCATCATGATATTAATATTTTTGCACTTACAAGGTGAGTGCAAATCCTTCGGGTCACCGCTTTAGTTGAAACTTTGCAGATTTGTAGATATCGTTATGCAGTTTAAAAAAATATATTATTATAGTTTTTAAAATATTTACGATTGAAGTTTTATTACTACCACATTAAGTATTTATTTTCGATAGATTTGACACAAGGTCGTGGTCTAACGGTGACAGGCGAGAATTCCTATGATTGAGGACCGGGGTTCGATTCCCAGTAATAGTTTTAGGTAGTTTTTCAATCTATTTTTTATTTTACATTCATTTTCCGCGTAATATTTAATTTTTGCCAAAAATAGAGAGGAAATAAAGATATATTGGTATACCATGGATATATCATGGAAATTCATCGTATGGAAGTGCAAATGCAGTTATAATTTATAAAAAATGTATAAATTATGAAATTTATCATGAATCACAAATTGAAATTATTATTAACAAATTGCATGAAGCATAAAAATATTTCACATAAATGCATCACGGAAATTTATATTCTAAAAGGATAAATAAAATTTATAAATTATAATACTTATCGTTAGTAACAAATTAATAATGTTAATAATAAATTGTTCAGAACGTAAATTTATAATATAAATGAAAAAATTAAGGAATTACAGGTTATTACTTGAACTTGGAACGAATTTGGGTCAAAATGTAACTATAATTTGCAAAAAGTTTATAAATTATTACACTGATTGTTTATAACAAATTAATATTGTTAATAACAAATTGTTTGCAATGTATATTTATCGTAAATATAAAAAAATTAATAAACTATTGGCTATTAAAGCGGAAAAATAATAATTAATGAAATCGGTGGACTCGGCCGATCGACGGCCATATAAGGGGCAACGCGACGGAACATAATCTATTTGTCAGTTCGACTTCGCAAGTGTAACATGTAAATTTTCGTTGTGCGCGAGGACTGGGGGTCCGAAATGAGGTTGGGACTAGCCATCTCACCCTCACCCCATCTCATTAAACAATTTACTAATCATTTTTTTTTGTTTCCAGGTATTAATTAATTTTTTATTTCAGCTTTTAATTATTTTTTCTTTTTTCAGGTTTTAATTTTTTTTTTTTATTTCAGATGTTATTTTTAATAATATTCGAATGTCTCATCGTTGGGTTGTTTATGTCTCATTTTTGGGATGTTTATATCTCATCGTTGGGTTCTTCATGTCTCATTGTTGGATTGTGTTAGATTTTTGTATTTCTATGTTCTAATTAATTTTCTTTCAGGTTTTAATTATTTTTGTCTTTTCAGATTTCATTTTTATTTAACAATTCGAATATTTCGTATAATATTCGAATGTGTCCTCGTTGAGTTTTTATGTCTCATCGTTGAGTTGTTCATGTCTTATGGTTAGGTTCTTAATGTCTCATCGTTGGGTTGTTCGCTCCATTTAGTTGATATTTATGGTTTATATTTATTTTGTTTGTTTATATTTGTTTTATTATGTTGTACTAATCATTTACTTATCTGTTTCTTTTCAGCTTTTCAGGTTCTTCAAGGCATCGTTGGACGACGCGCGATGCGTGCGATTAGATCTAAGTAGACTTAAGTATCTATAAGGTAGATTTTTAATTTTTCAAGATTTCATCGGAAAATATCGTTGGACGACGAGGGATGAGTGCGTCTAGACTTAAGTAGTTGTAAGTAGTTATAAGGTAGATTTCTAGACTAAGTCTCATGTGCGCGTTATCTGTTCACAGGTAAGCTACCAAACTTACAGCGAAATATATCAATTCTCTATTTCTCTCGTTTACCAAATAGAACATAATTGTTCTCGCGATAATCGCGATTGTTCTTAAGTACCGACTAGCCTACGCGACGTACTTCCCGTGTACTCGACAACTCCGCGCCACGTTAGTCATTCTCACGGCTCGTCTCCGACACTCATTTCTGCCACTGTCAATCTCGTCATGCATCGGGATCTCTGGTGGCTCTCGGGCTGGTGAGGCATCTGGACTAATATGAGGGTCCGTCGACCTTGGTCGTCCTGGTTGCCAATCCATGCACACGAACAGGGGATGGGCCCTGCATTCGGAATCATTGCAATAGCGTGCCTGCCTGCCCCGCTAGCACTTGGCCACTATGTGGTTATGTTAGCATAGAGCCGGGGTATGGAGCATGCGCGTGATTCCCACTGTTAGGACTCGCATAGGACTCTCGGATTACCTCTGGGTATTTCACTGGTTCGTTGGCTGCCTTAGGTCATAGAGTAAGCCATGGCGAGGTTGGCAATGGCAGGGTGGGCAAGGCCCGATCGGGAGGGTGCTGAGGCCGGAGTTGTCTTGTACACGGGGGTGCGTCGCGTAGGCTAGTCGGTCTTTCGAATAATCGCAAATTCCCCTTTGTATGACACGAAATAAAATAAAGTGTCAGTAGAGTCACTTTAACTTAATTCGCTCCAAGGTAGATTA